GGTGAAAGCTGAAAGCTGGAGAGGTATGGTGACCCATTTCTCCTTAGATGACCTCATAACACATTTTGCAGTCATAAAATCTCCATACAGAAGCAGCAAATGTGTTACCGCGACGACTTATCCACTTAAATCCGGAATGCAACAAAAAGCATATATGCACACACGGGTCTCTTCGCCTGGCACGTCAAGTAAAAACTAAGTTACTGACCTAATTTTTGTCCCGAACAAAGCAAAATGCGGCTAAACGAAGGCCTACAAAAACGTTGAACTGGGTAAACCCGCTTAAAATGCCCCGTTTCCGACAGATAACACATCCGTGCTTATAGCCACATTTAGGTGATGCTAGTCCGCCTGGGTGAGCCCAAATGAAAACGGGCAGAAAAAAAAAAGCCTTAAAGACACGGTTATAACGTGGTTATTTGTACTCACCACCCGCCCGGGCTATGCGTCCGCGTTTCACTCGTGGGTGACCGACTTTTCCTCAACACCGCATGACCCACTTCTGTCCGCGAGAGCCGTGTCGGGCGGCGTCCCGGCGTTCAGTTGACAAGATGGTCGCCTAACACACCCACTTCCGTGTGTTTATAGGGTTTGTTTGTATACATAGTTTGTGTAGGCTTTTGATTTATCTGTTTAGTTTTATTTCTGTGTTGTAACTGATCTATCTATGTCGTAAACAGTAAATTCTTCTCAGTTTGCAATTAAAATTACATTTAGCACGTCACGTTGTGCCCAACTCCAGTGGCAGTTACATATGACAGACATATGATTGATATCCCATGTCACCAAGTCCTTGCTTCTTTAGTCTCTGATTAAATTAATCCACCAGGGAGGACATGCTTGTTGTTAACGGGAACTGTGTCTGTTCTACTTCCTCTCCAAAACCTTGATCCCGCACGGGGAATAAACAACGGATAAATGAGAGCTGTCATCATCGCAATATTCTAGACAGATGAATGAGATCCATAACATGATAAATCAAATACTCCTATGTTCAGTTTTTTTCTGTTGGTAATCTAGTGTTTTCTCCATGTTTCAAGTCTGCCTCCAGACAGTGCACCACAGAAAGCCCTGTCACAGACATAATGTAATAGACTTGTTCTAAGTGTTTTAGATTATGGTCTGGGCCTCCTCACTGTCAGCAGAACTCAGCTAGAAAGACTAGACCGGGTAAAAAATGAGGCCATGAGACTTATACTCGGCTGCACAAAAGACACCTCATGCCATGCAGTATGTCCTGGGTTTGCTGACTATAGCCACCAGACATAAAGTGGCACAGGTAAAAGCGTAGATGAGAATATTAGCAGACATCAACCATCCACTGCACAGCGCTATCAATGATATAAACGGGACGCATCTCAAAAAAGGCTCCTCCTGAATGGCCGAGGCAGAAAATATAATCCAGCAAGTATGTGCCCTAGACGAGATCAGTCACGGAAAAGAATGGACGGATACACCAGTTGACCTGCCCGACTTGTCTAAGGTTGTCATAACAATGGGAAGGTACTGCAGGAATACCTGCCACCATAGATGCTGAGATTAGAGCACTGATTGATCTGCACTCACCCCCAGAAGACGTCGTCATTTACACAGATGGGTCAGTGGAGCGTGGGACAAGATCAGCATGGGCATACACAGTACAAAGGATGGGAAAAACAATAATATAATAGCGGTGCTTACCAGATGACACATCAAGCATGACAATGGAGATAGCTGCTGCTACCAGAGCACTCGCGTGGGCAGCAGAACAAGCGGCCACACATGCAGTAATTGTGTCAGATCTATGAACATGCTTCAGAAAATCGCTACAGGTAGTCTCCACTCCGAATAGTTAGAAAGCATTTGGAAGTAGCATTTAACCTCCATAGGTACCTTGAAATGACTGCTGCATCGGAGGACTGAGCACTCATGGGGATGCCCAATGTGCAAAGACGTCAATTGTTTTTTTTTTTTTTTTTAATCGATCACCGGCTGTGAATTCCAGTGGAAGGTCCCGGTTAATCGTCCGCTTGGACTTTTGGCTTTCACCTGAACCTGATTTTTGCGTGTACAACCGTTTTTCATTTCCCTGCCTCATGGGCAGCTGTACTCCGACTTCGAAGGAAGACGTCAGGCCTATTTCTAGGTTGACTGTGGCCATTGTTTTGTGTGGGTCGAGACGTTGCCTGATTTGTGTGGTGTCCACTTTGTCTCCTCCGCAGGTATTGCCCTCGGAGTACCCCTTTGGGGCAGCCCCCTGTGGAACAGTTAGCCCTCAAGGGAAGGCAGGGGCAGATCATGGGCATTCCCCGTCATCCAAGGAGGCTTCCATGCATGCAGAGCCGGCACATGGCGCTCTGGTTCTGGGCTCACCCAAGGAATCGTCACGTCCTGCACATGCCTGCTTAACCTCACAACCGTATCAGGCCTCCCGCTCGACAGGGGCTGCGCCCTCTGGAAGTCAGCGGGTAGCAGCTCGTGGGTTTTGGACTTTTGTGACCACACAGATAGGTACATTCTTTTTTCTTTGCACGTTAGATTTCTTTGACGAGCCGTTAGCCCGACATAATTTTACATCCTGCATCAGGCATATCGTTATCAGTTTTTTCCCAACACTCGGGCGAGTGGGGTCTTTGGGTGTGGACATTCGGTCTTTTTCAGTTCAATACAAATTTTGATGGTCAGATTTTGATCCGTATGATCTAGTTTTGTCGGACAATTAGGATGGTTGCTGTTGTGGTGTACCTCAGCGCGGTGTCGACGACACTGAGGGTTAACCGAGCTTGTACATGAATGGCCAGCCTATGGATGGTTGCTGTTGTGGTGTACCTCAGCGCAGTGACGACGACACTGGGGGCTAACCGAGGATGTACAAGGATGGCCAGCCTGTGGATAGTTGCTGTTGTGGTGTACCTCAGCGCGGTGACGACGACACTGAGGGTTAACAGAGGATGTGCAGTGAACAATGTTCTCTTTACTCCGCAGTCTTTTAACTAAGGGTTGTAATTTTGGCTGTACGTTTGGCAAACCTACTCATGTTCCTAATGAGTTTTGATAACATTTTTCACCCAAGCGTTTGGGGGCGGGCTGATGAGAGCCACAAGGACACATCACCTCTGGGGGCCGCCGAACTCTGAGATCCCCTGACAGCTCTGTTAATGCTCATTTGAGACATTATCCGTGGCGCACGACGAGGACGTGCTGTAGGGGTCTTGCGTGAGGTTCCGTACAACCAGGATAGTTAAGGACTGGCGCCCGAGTGACGTACGGAGTATCTCCTTATACACATCATGTTGGACTTAACTTCCCCTCACGCCTGTGACATAAATCACCGCGCCACACGTCAATTGTGATAACATAACATAATGGAAGTAGATCCAGAGGTCGACTACGCAAACGATAAAGTTTAATTTCTGACGCTGTACATTAAATATTAACACAAACACCTACGTAGCACACTTGAAGGCTCTTAAGCAATGCCTTTTCAAAACCTGATAGACAGTACAGGATCAGAGAAAAAAGAAGTGTTTCCTTTTATTGTTGTTTAATATTTCTTACCCCTTTTTTTGGGTCCATTATTCATTGTTAATGAAAACGGCTAATAAGAGCAGTTTTAAAGAATATAGGCGGTTAGAATATCAAATTATAGTACTTTCTTCCATGGATTTATTTTCGGATCTAGGAGGTTGGCATCCAGAATGCCAAAATCTTTCAGTTTTTCTGTTGTTTAGTGTCCTGTAATTCCCCCGAGTGGGTTCTGGGGCCCTATTGCAGGGAAAACAAGAATAGACCCACTGCCTACCCAAAAGCATGTCGTAAGAGTCAACTAATTGGGAGCTTCCTTTGAAGTCGGAGTGTATTTGCCTAAGAGGTGAGAAACCAAGTCAGATATGTAAAACAGATGCGCATGCAAGACTCTGGTTCTGGAACAGGTTCACAGTCCAGAAGTGGATGAACAGCTAGAACTTTCTGCCGGAGATTACAGCCAGTGACATATCGAAAGGATGTGGAATGTCTCTTTCTTTTGTTCTCTTTGTGAGTTGACTTCTTTCAAGACCTCTTTATTGCCCTTTTCATCTTTTCAAGATGTTCTCATCATTCTTCTTAAAATTAAAATAAAATAAAAATGCATCTCTGCATCTTCTATGCAGTTTCTTTTCTTCTTCTTTTGTTCGCTTAAAATAAATTATCTATATCTGCAATGTTGTCTCTAGTATAAATTTCACTGTCTATTGTAATTCACTCAGCGACCCATTCAGTTTGACTTGCACCAATGTTCAGATACAAGAGGTTAATATAAAATATGTCTGTGCTTGAAGACAGCAAGAACATTAATTTTATCTTAGTGAAACAACTGTAAACTCCGGCTGAAAGTTCTTGGTTTTCACCCACTTCTGGTCTTTCTTATTGTTTTAAAACTTGAGTTTTGCACGCACGTCCATTTTACAGATCTGGTTTACATGTATGCAGTTTATTTGTTTCTCACCTCTCATCATATGCACTCTGAATTCGAAGTTAGGTTTTGGCCAGATCCCCAGAGCACCATTCTTCCTAACACAACATTTGCTGCTTAGAGGTTAGCAAATCTGATATATGGTGCTGGAGCGTTGTTTCTAATATATGAAGCCCTACAATAACATCCATTCAGTTTCTGCTTTTGTTTTTTATTATTGACATGCCTGCCAGTGAAAAAACAGTTAAAGGCTTCAGAGGAAATACAAGACAGATGCATAATTACACTGCTGCTGGTACCATTGGTGTTGGAACTCTGAGCTAGCTGCTGAAGATGGAGACTGAGTGCTTATGGAAATGCCACGAGTACTGTGATGTCGGATCCTGAATCAACTTAACTCAACTAATGACATGTCTGTCTGAGAAAGACTTTTCACAGGAAGTCCCAGAGGTGTTAAGAGACTCGGATGCTTTGATAGAAGCAACATTTGGCTAAGGCCTACTAGATGATGATGATAATGATTATATATCATTCCTTCCAGGCTTTGTTGTAAAGAAAGTATCCCAGGATGCCACACACAGTAGAGAAGGACTTTACCTTTTCATACTACACAAGGACAACAAAGTCGACATTAACTACTCCAGTCACCATCCCTTTGGCCAATTCTTCAAAGGAATTTGCTGCTCGCCTCATCCAGGCCCACAGTTTGCCATGCTTTGTTGTTCAAGGTTAGTGGATTAGTTTCTTGCAGTTTCTACATTTTGATCAATTAATCAATCAGGTGCCGTCTCCACCGTGAAGGTTAGCTGCAATGGATCTCTAAAATGCTGTGTCTCTTGTCCTGGTTGTACACTCTCTCAGACTTCTGCCCCTCCATCTCTTGGTGTTATCCTCCCACTTGTATCATTGCCCACTTCTTGCTTTCTTGCCTTGACCTTTCCCTCCAGTATGGTTTTTAAAAGTGTGTTATGTCTTTTAATGTAGCCAAAGTATTTCAGTTGTCCCTTTGTTATTTCTTTCAATAATTCTCTTTTAATTTGTTGTCTTTCCAGAACCTCTGTATTGGACTGTTTTTGTTTCCATGAAATACGGCCTATTGCATTGAAAAGACCAGTCATTTTAAATGGCTCTGAAACTTGGAGCACAACTAAAAGAGATGAAGGCTTATTACAGGTTTTAGAAAACAGAGTATTTTGACAATCTTTAGACCTATCAAAGGTGTAAACAGCGGGAAATTCAGAGTGAGAAGCAGTGACAAAATTCATGATCTGTTTAAATCACCATTGATCATTGGCATCATGAGAGCTAATAGGTTGAAATGGCTGGGGCGTATTGAGAGAATGTCAAATGGTAGAGGTAAAAACTGTATACATAAGGGAGATGAATGGTCGTAGACCACGAGGTAGATCAAAAAGACATTGGAGATATAATGTCCAGAAAGATCTGCAAACACTTGGTATTACCAGCTGGAAAGTGAATGCCAACCAGAAAGATGAGTGGGGGCTGTGATATCTGCAACAGCGAACCTCAAGGACTCGGAATGATGAAGAAGAAGATGTAACACATTATCTTGTTTAAAAATGGGAAGTACTCTTTTCACGCCATTGGGGTTTCAGACATTTATTGCTAGACCAATTGGCATTTGTTGGGTGATATGATCAGCATTGGAGAAAACAATTTGAAACGTTTGTACTAAAATGCTGCACACAACGTTTTAGAATACCATGAACCTAGAAGAAGAAGAAAAACATAGACATCCTACATGAACTGAGCATCAAGAAGAATGGGCTAATAAACACGGTCCTATCCTACCATGTTAAACATAATGGTGGCTTGGAGAGAATCGTGATGAAAGATACAGTTTCTGAAAAATAAGGCAGAGGCAGACCTCTGCAAAAGTGGATACTATTGATACTAAAACTTTGAAGAGGTATTTGGCTATGAAGCTACATAGGGCTGGAGTACTGGCTCTAAAAAGAGACACTTTCAGGCATGTTGCAATGACAGCAACATTCTCTGAAGGACCTGCTGATTGATGAGAATGTTCAACATTTCACTAGCCACCTTTACTTCCAAGGACAGTTCCTGGTATTCATTTTAGACTGAGCTGACCTAGAGGCCTATGTTAATTTTTGTTTAATCCACTTAACTGAGGATTCAAACTTATGACCACTTGTCCTTCTTTGGCAGTCTTTGCTCTGCCAAATAATCCACTGTGGGCCATAAACTGGATTGTTATCTCCAGGTCTCTCAGGTTTTCCCAAAGTTTAGTTGTCAAGCTTGCTGGGTGTGGCCACACATTACTTCACAGCTCCTCAAAGAGAGGACAGTCTTGCAAGACTTTTCAGCATAAAGACATTGGCAGATAGTTGTTTGTCTCATATCTAATTTATATGAGTGTTTGTTGCATCCTCAGTATCCAGTGCATATGCAACCACTTGTCCAATAGGCTAGCAACTGCGAAAACACAGCAGTGCAATTGGTTTTTGCCAGTGTTTTCTAATTCTGTGGTCCACAGACTTTTGTAATACAGCGTACAGATTTCAGGGGTCAATGTTGTTGTATATTTAAAAAAAAAAAACTCACCTGAACTCTTTGAGTCCCAGGGGGTTTAGCAATAGAGACCCAAAGGGTGGTCAAAAAAGACATAAAATCTGTGCATCATGCGTTCATTGGGCTTCTAGGTAGGAACCTATGAATGTATGATGCGTTCCTTGGGACTCAAAGAGTTTATAATGCAAAAACTCTCAAATTTATAATGCATTTACCTACCCCCTCCCCCTCTTTTGTTTTTGTTTTCTGAAACAAGCATGTCGTAGAAGGTAACTAATTAGAAAAATGTTCATGGCATGGAGGGATAACATCGAGAGAGCTGTTGCAGGCAACCAGGGATCGTGACCTGTGGAGATGCTTGAGCACCTACGCCAGTTGTAAGGGCACATAATGATGATAATCCAGTTAGGGACACAGCCATCAAGCCTGGTACACATCAGTCTCAGCCAGTACACTTTGCACAAATAAACAAGACCATAAATATAACCGAATGCTGCTAGAAGCAGTTTAAACATGCTCATTTTTTTTTCTTCTCATAGCAAAGCAAGATAAGATCATGCATCACATTTATGAAACATTGACAGTGTATTCAACATTTGGTTTATCCCAAAGGGAGATCAACATTTATTATTTACAGCAGCGCACGTCTTACATGATTTTCAGATTTGGAAAATGACCTTGAAGAATTTGTTAAAGCGGAGACCTCAGCACTTTATGATAAAAATGCAGATGAAGCCATTCAGAAAATAAAGGACAGTAATGAATCTGTAGTTAATGAGTTGCTGGGACGTTGGGTGAAAACATACAGCCAGGTAAGTGGGTTGACTGATTGTGTGGTATTTTAATTTTGCGTAGAAAGAGCAGGGTGGTGGGGGTTTTGAAATGTCAGCACTATAGCTTACCAGGACGGAGCGTATAAATCGAATGCAAAATCTCACCCAGAATATCAAACAGACTTAACCAAAATTAATTAAGGCTTATGAAAGCAATCAGTTAAGGCTTATAAAAACAATCAAATAGAGAGGTTCTGAAAAGCCTAGGAGTCAAAACAGTGCTATCTGCTATACATTATCTTACGGAAATTTTTTTTTTTTTTTTTTTCAAGAAGAGAAATTAAATTTTTTAGCCGTATAAAAAGATTTATAAAAACCATACTGGCTGGAAAGTTGAAGGCAAGCTACAGCAGTCTGCAAGATAATTTAAATGTGCTTGTTGCGAGGTCACAACAGGTCTGAAAACCCATGAAGCAAAGACAAATATAAAGAATAAATCAGGCAAATAGTAATTGGGTTTCTTTAGTGGCATCCCACTCCAAGATGTGCAGTCGTGCACCTATTTGCACAATGATGTAGATAAAAATGGGTGCACTGATAGAGATATTCAAATACAAATACAAAAGGCAAGAGGAGCTTTGATAGCACTAGGGAATTTGCTGAGATCAAAAGACATTTAAACTAATCCTAAACTTAGAATTTGGAATTCTAATGACAAATTAGTACTGTTGTATGGCATTAACCATGGAGAACAACTAAAGCACTTACTAATAAATTACAGACAGTCACTAACTGGTGCCTGCGCAGAATAGAGGGAATTAAATGGTACAAGAGAATCACTAATGTAGATCTTTGGGGGAGAACTAAACAAGTTCCAGTGGACCAAGAGGTGAAGAAAATATGTTGGCGTTGGATAAGACACACGTTGGGAAAACCTGAGAACAATATAACCAGAATGTCTTTGCACTGGAACCCACAGGGGCAAATAATTAAAGGAAACCTAAAAAAAAACACATGGAGTCGGAAGCTGGAGAGGGAAGTTAAAAAGATGGGGAGAGCTGCATGCCACAGCAAAGAATAGAATGACTTAACTTGAATTGGTTGAGGGCCTATGCTCAATTGCAGGCTAGAAGAGCAGAAGAAGAAGACAGCAGTCTGAGAGTGTTCATCCAGGGTAAACAAAAGAGCCTGTTGGAGAAGATCCATGGAGTCAGTCTTTATTGTGAGATGCATCTGACTGATTGATTTATGCCATGACAGTAATTGTCTGTTTAACTTTTTATTTCATTTATTTGTATCTTCTCTTCTTCTTCTGCATTTTCACATTTACCGGCTGTAAATTCCGGAGGAAAGTTCTGATTGTCTGTTTACCTCCAGACATCTTGTTCTAGAATCTGAGGGCATGTACATCCATTTTACACATCTGACTTATATGTATGCAGACTGTTTGTTCCTTGCCTTTCAGGCAGATGCACTTCAGCTTCAAAGGGTTTCCCCAATTAGTCAACTCTTACGACATACTTGTTGGGGAGGCAGTGGGTCTATTCTTGTTTTTCTCCCAATGGGACCTCGGAACCCACGTGGGGAATTTTTTTATGTGTATTTAAGATTTTCTTCATCAGTAACAGGGAGCCACTTTGGTCTAGCAGCAAGACGCTCACCTGTGGATGGAAAGGTCGTGGGTTGGGTTCCTGATGAGAGCCGGACTTCTTTCAAAAATGACTCTGTCTCCCAGGTTGACCCAGCCCTGAGTGGGTACCAGGTACAGTCCTGGGAAGTAAAGGCGGTGGCGTGATGCCGACCACATCACCCACCAAGTGCCGTTTAGTCTATAAAATATAGGTGTAGCCCTATATACCCAATATGCCTGAAAGGCATGGAAAAGGGTCCTTTACTTTTACTTACTTTTTTCATAAGTAACAAAATTTATTTGGTCATCAGGCCCTATACTTTCCAGACATAGGTCCTGATGATTTTTGGTTATTTCCAAAGCTGAACATCTGATTCAAGGGACCATATTTGAATCACAGGATGGCATTATGTAAATGGTTCTTAACCTTCCTAATATCATGACCCTTTAAAACAGTTCCTCATGTTGTGGAGACCACCAACCATACAATTATTTTCGTTGCTAATTTATGACTTTAGTGAATATGTGTTTTCCTATGGTCTTTGGCGACCCCTTGAAAGGGTCATTGGACCCACAGGTTGAGAACCGCTGCATTATGTGGAACCCAACATCTGAACTATACTCCATTCGCGAAGAACCTGTCCTAAAATGCTTCCAACAGTGGCAGACCTATTTATTTAATCCGTATTACACTCACTTGACTACCTTTATTTTCAAAGACACTTCCTTATATCCATTTTAAGTTTGATTCTACTGGGACTGGGTTAATTTTAAAAAAGACTTGCCTTGATAGGGTTTAAACCTGTAACCATCCTCCAGCAGGCAAGCATCCTGGCCATTTAGCTGCTGCAGCTCTCTCTCTCTCTCTCGCTCTCTCTCTATCCATCTCTCTCTCTATCCATCTCTCTCTCTGCCTGTATCTCTACTTTTCCTGATTTTTTTCTCCCTCTTTCTCTTCCTCTCACCCTCTCTTACTGTACGTCACACCCTTTCCTCTCTAAAAGAAAACATATAAACACGTTATATTTAATTTTCTTATACTTCGATACATTAAACCTCAGATTTTGCATGTAAACCACTTTTTTTTTTCAAATAAAAACAAATACTTTACAGGAGCTAAGGATGTTCGCCAAACCCTTTGAGTTGAGCAGGGATGAGAAGTTTGCAGAAGTCTACCATACTTTGATACACTCACCTGCCCTGGAAACTCTTCTCAACCTGGAGCACGAGTATTCTCTGGGAGTCGAAAAGGTCATCAAGGAAAGGAATAGGAGTTTGCAGCAGCTGCAGGAAAAGTAAGTACCTGACAGTCAGTATTTAAAGCTTCCATTTGACTGGCCAGAAATGGGGTTGGATGTTGTTGGCCATCAGGAACAAAGTTTAGGATCCTTTTTATGTGTTTGGCATTTTGTGTTAGACCTATATTATTTTAGACCAGTCGGCATTCAGTGGTTGATGCAGACATCATGCAGGTCACCTTTACTTCCCAGGACAGTTTCTCATTTAGACCAGGTCCACCTGGGAGCCAAGGTCGGTTTTAAAAAACAATCAGCCTCGTTGTGGATTCGAACCCTAGATTTTCGGGACTGCGGGTGAGCATTTGGTCACTGTTTTACTGTGGATTCAACCATAACAAGCATGTTAAAATTTATCTGGTTGTCTTATCTTAATTTTTTGTTTTCAGTAACTTTGTGCTATCAGTGCTGGACATTGGCAGTCCTAGAAAAACATAAACCTAGATTTGTGGCACTGAAAAAACATGAAGAGACGGAGTCACCAACAACAACAACAAAAAGAAGAATGATGGGCAAAGTACCAGTCAAGGATTTCATAGAACATTAGAGAATCAAATGGTTTAGTCATCTGGTCAGAATGGAACAAAATCAGCCAGCAGTTAAAACGTGCTACTTGAGAACAGCAGAAAGAGATGACTGGAGGGAATAAAAAACACACTACAGAAAAGCATTGACATAAAAATTAGCTACACAACTAGCAAAAGACATGAAAGTTAATCTAACTTCTCTCTGTGATGGTTTATAGCATGTGCAATTAAAAAAAAATTATAAAGTAAAGGACCCTTTTCACGCCTTTACGCGTAATGAGCTTTAGGGCTAGACCTATATTTTATTGACCAATCAGCACTCGATGGGTGATTAAGTCAACATCATGCATGCCGCCTTTACTTCCCAGGACTGTGTGTGGAACCCATTTAAGGCTGGGTCACCTGGGAGCCAAGGTCATTTTTGAAAAGTATTCAGCTTTGTCAGGACATGAACACACAACCTTCAGAGTCGCAGGTGAGCATCTAGCTGCTACACCACAGCGGCTTCCTGGCACAGGCTGTAGGGTAAAAGAAGAAGAAGATTGCCAGGGATGAGATATGTGAAATATACTATCTCTTTTTTTGGGGGGGGGGGGGGGGAGCGGGCAGTTTCAAACAGATGCAGTCAGCATCTGAGACAAACTAGATAGATCTTCTTGAGCCAAGTTTGGATAACATTTGGTGTTCTTCACAAGGGTATAAAGAGAAAGATGAGTGTGTGTTAGTTAGTCGACAGATTATCCTCATTGCACACCGAACCATTCAGTCCATAAGTGCTTAGTAAATCCTGCAATATGTAGCGGCTCACAACACCAGTTCTGTGTTGGTTTCTAATTCTTCTTTGGCTTCCTGCATAGTGCTCTTGTCTAGCTACACCCCTTTTAGCCTTTAATCTTTGTAACCTTTTGAGTGTGTACGTGTAAACAACACTTTGAGCTCACTTACATCATTCATTTTCTTCATTTGTTTTCTCTTCATCTCACTTTCAGACAGCGCCGTGAGATGGACGTTGCCTTGACCAATGTCGGTGCTGGATACAGAGATGAAGACATCAACTTGTTGGCACAGAGACAGTTTGAGGAAACCCAGGTAATTGTGCCAGATGATCGGGAAATGATGCCGTCAGGAAGTAGGGGCAGGGGGTCGACCAGAATGAAGATGAGCACAGGATATAATGGACATTTTAGGCAGGAAAGGGCACATTCTGCAAAGGACCTGCTAAATAAGAGGTCTCCAACCTATAGGGTGTGACGAAGTTTCAGTGTGAACGTCAAGCAATTATGAAATTGAGTCCATCTGTATTTGTAGTTGAACAGTCATGAAAACAAAACAGCACTGCCAGCTTGATGTGTAGAGTGGTTTCCATTGTGCTGTGTCCAACACTGGACCAAAAATGTGCAGATATCATCAAGACAAAACATTGATATTTAGACATTACCTGTTGTTGGTGATTTTTGTGTGCGTGTTGTTGTTATTTTACACTTTGATTTGTGTGTATGTTTTTCTCCAAGTTATTATTAACAATGCTCGTAATTTGTCTTTATATCCTCTTTTTAATCACATTTTGTTTAGTTAGAGACCTGCATGCTACATGATAATGATGATGATCACCAAACTATTTAACTCATCCACTACTATGAAACTCACTGTACATTTCTTGGGTTCTACTTACATGATACAGTTTTCTTAATTCCTCATGCTACATGCAGTTGTTACTCTGTCTACTCTGCTCCCCTGAAAGAAGCTTGGTCTCTTGCCAGCTCTCCCGCCTCATGTACTTTCATATTCAAGGAGTCACTTATATCCTGTGCCCATCTTCATGCTGGTCAGTCCCTGCCCCTCCTTCCTGGTACTGTGAATTCTATTTTTTTTTTTCCAATCCACTATGACGTTTGATATGACCAAAATATTTCAGCTTCCCAGGCAAGATGCTGTTTATTAGTCAAACTTCCTTGATGTTCAGATCTTTTAAAATGTCAGTATTTCTTGCCTTTTTTTGTGTGTGTCTGTGGTATAAATTCACTACAGGAAAACATTATTTTGAACATCAGTAAAATATATTTACTTCTCTCATTAAGCCTGCATAAGTGATTTTTCATTTCCACTTTTTTCCCCTATTCTGCCCATTGAGGAATGTTTATAGTTTATTAGCCGTTGTGTTAGTTCTTCTTCATATTTCTTTAGTTGTAACAGTATTCATTTTGACTTAGAATGGACCCATCTCTGCACTTCCGCATATAATATTTCATAGACTATTCAGGATATCCAGGTGCGCCAGATAACAAGCAGAGGATTGAATAGCTGCAGCCGCTCTTCTGCTCGGTGAGCTACTCTATGATAAAATAGGTGTGGTGAGGGCTCTATGGGATCAAATGGACAGTGCATCAGAGCTACTTTATAATGAAGTAGGTGTGGATCTATGGGATCAAATGGACATTGCATCAGAGCTACTTTATACTGAAGTAGGTGTGGATCTATGGGATCAAATGGACAGTGCATCAGAGCTACTTTATGATGAAGTAGGTGTGGATCTATGGGATCAAATGGACAGTGCATCAGAGCTACTTTATAATGAAGTAGGTGTGGATCTATGGGATCAAATGGACAGTGCATCAGAGCTACTTTATGATGAAGTAGGTGTGGATCTATGGGATCAAATGGACAGTGCATCAGAGCTACTTTATAATGAAGTAGGTGTGGATCTATGGGATCAAATGGACAGTGCATCAGAGCTACTTTATGATGAAGTAGGTGTGGATCTATGGGATCAAATGGACAGTGCAACAGAGCAGACAGAAAGCTCATAAATTGAAAGACTAATTCAACATGGGGGAAGTAGAAGTTCTGGAGGATATTCAGTCCTGAGGGGGAAACAGGTGGACTTTTAATCAGGTTGCAACTGGTACTGTTAGCAATTGGTTTCTGAAGAAGGGGGGCAGAACATGTATAGAAATGTCCCGAGTTCAGTAATGTTAATTCTTGATTGATTCTCTCATTCATTCATAGACTGATATTCAGTGATAGTCTTTCACAACATATTCTAAACATTTTTACAGACGGTTGAAAGCAAGTGGGCGTCAGAGCTGAGCTTCCTCCATGAGCAACAGAAGGCAGAGTACAGAGAGTGGGTGTTCCGGGTCAATGAAGATTCTCAGGGCAATGCCACACTTCCTTCCTATGTGTCAGTCAGTTTTACTTGTTTTTTTAACTCATAGTTGTACATCATACGTGTCTTCTATGTGTCAGTCAGTTTTACTTGTTTTTTTTAACAGATAGTCGTACACCACACTTCCCTCGTTTGTGTCAGTCAGTTTTACTTGTTTTTTTAACAGATAGTTGTACACCACACTTCCCTCCTATGTGTCAGTCAGTTTTACTTGTTTTTTTAACAGTTGTACACCACACTTCCCTCGTGTGTGTCAGTCAGTTTTACTTGTTTTTTTAACAGATAGTCGTACACCACACTTCCCTCGTGTGTGTCAGTCAGTTTTACTTGTTTTTTAACAGATAGTTGTACACCACACTTCCCTTGTATGTGTCAGTCAGTTTTACTTGTTTTTTTTAACAGATAGTTGTACACCACACTTCCCTCGTATGTGTCAGTCAGTTTTACTTGTTTTTTTTAACAGCTAGTTGTACACCACACTTCCCTCGTATGTGTCAGTCAGTTTTACTTGTTTTTTTAACAGATAGTTGTACACCACACTTCCCTCATATGTGTCAGTCAGTTTTACTTGTTTTTTTAAGATATTTGTACACCACACTTCCCTTGTATGTGTCAGTCAGTTTTACTTGTTTTTTTAACAGCTAGTTGTACACCACACTTCCCTCGTATGTGTCAGTAAGTTTTACTTGTTTTTTTAACAGCTATTTGTACACCACACTTCCCTTGTATGTGTCAGTCATTTTTTCTTGTTTTTTTAACAGCTAGTTGTACACCACACTTCCCTCGTATGTGTCAGTCAGTTTTACTTGTTTTTTTTAACAGATATTCGTACACCACACTTCCCTCGTATGTGTCAGTCAGTTTTACTTGTTTTTTTAACAGATAGTCGTACACCACACTTCCCTCGTATGTGTCAGTCAGTTTTACTTGTTTTTTTTAACAGCTATTTGTACACAACACTTCCCTTGTATGTGTCAGTCAGTTTTACTTTTTTTTTTTTAACAGATAGTCGTACACCACACTTCCCTCGTGTGTGTCAGTCAGTTTTACTTGTTTTTTTAACAGATAGTTGTACACCACACTTCTCTTGTATGTGTCAGTCAGTTTTACTTGTTTTTTTTTTAACAGATAGTCGTACACCACACTTCCCTCGTATGTGTCAGTCAGTTTTACTTGTTTTTTTTTAACAGATAGTCGTACACCACACTTCCCTCGTATGTGTCAGTCAGTTTTACTTGTTTTTTTAACAGCTATTTGTACACCACACTTCCCTCGTATGTGTCAGTCAGTTTTACTTGTTTTTTTAACAGATAGTCGTACACCACACTTCCCTCGTATGTGTCAGTCAGTTTTACTTGTTTTTTTTAACAGCTATTTGTACACAACACTTCCCTTGTATGTGTCAGTCAGTTTTACTTGTTTTTTTTTAACAGATAGTCGTACACCACACTTCCCTCGTATGTGTCAGTCAGTTTTACTTGTTTTTTTTAACAGCTAGTACACCACACTTCCCTTGTATGTGTCAGTCAGATTTACTTGTTTTTTTTAACAGCTAGTTGTACACCACACTTCCCTCGTATGTGTCAGTCAGTTTTACTTGTTTTTTTAACAGATAGTTGTACACCACACTTCCCTCGTATGTGTCAGTCAGTTTTACTTGTTTTTTTAACAGCTAGTTGTACACCACACTTCCCTCGGATGTGTCAGTCAGTTTTACTTGTTTTTTTAACAGTTGTACACCACACTTCCCTCGTGTGTGTCAGTCAGTTTTACTTGTTTTTTTAACAGATAGTCGTACACCACACTTCCCTCGTGTGTGTCAGTCAGTTTTACTTGTTTTTTAACAGATAGTTGTACACCACACTTCCCTTGTATGTGTCAGTCAGTTTTACTTGTTTTTTTTAACAGATAGTTGTACACCACACTTCCCTCGTATGTGTCAGTCAGTTTTACTTGTTTTTTTTAACAGCTAGTTGTACACCACACTTCCCTCGTATGTGTCAGTCAGTTTTACTTGTTTTTTTAACAGATAGTTGTACACCACACTTCCCTCATATGTGTCAGTCAGTTTTACTTGTTTTTTTAAGATATTTGTACACCACACTTCCCTTGTATGTGTCAGTCAGTTTTACTTGTTTTTTTAACAGCTAGTTGTACACCACACTTCCCTCGTATGTGTCAGTAAGTTTTACTTGTTTTTTTAACAGCTATTTGTACACCACACTTCCCTTGTATGTGTCAGTCATTTTTTCTTGTTTTTTTAACAGCTAGTTGTACACCACACTTCCCTCGTATGTGTCAGTCAGTTTTACTTGTTTTTTTTAACAGATATTCGTACACCACACTTCCCTCGTATGTGTCAGTCAGTTTTACTTGTTTTTTTAACAGATAGTCGTACACCACACTTCCCTCGTATGTGTCAGTCAGTTTTACTTGTTTTTTTTAACAGCTATTTGTACACAACACTTCCCTTGTATGTGTCAGTCAGTTTTACTTTTTTTTTTTTAACAGATAGTCGTACACCACACTTCCCTCGTGTGTGTCAGTCAGTTTTACTTGTTTTTTTAACAGCTATTTGTACACCACACTTCTCTTGTATGTGTCAGTCAGTTTTACTTGTTTTTTTTTTAACAGATAGTCGTACACCACACTTCCCTCGTATGTGTCAGTCAGTTTTACTTGTTTTTTTTTAACAGATAGTCGTACACCACACTTCCCTCGTATGTGTCAGTCAGTTTTACTTGTTTTTTTAACAGCTATTTGTACACCACACTTCCCTCGTAATGTATGTGTCAGTCAGTTTTACTTGTTTTTTTAACAGATAGTCGTACACCACACTTCCCTCGTATGTGTCAGTCAGTTTTACTTTTTTTTTTTTAAACAGCTATTTGTACACAACACTTCCCTTGTATGTGTCAGTCAGTTTACTTGTTTTTTTTTACAGATAGTCGTACACCACACTTCCCTCGTATGTGTCAGTCAGTTTTACTTGTTTTTTTTAACAGCTAGTACACCACACTTCCCTTGTATGTGTCAGTCAGATTTACTTGTTTTTTTTAACAGCTAGTTGTACACCACACTTCCCTCGTATGTGTCAGTCAGTTTTACTTGTTTTTTTAACAGATAGTTGTACACCACACTTCCCTCGTATGTGTCAGTCAGTTTTACTTGTTTTTTTAACAGCTAGTTGTACACCACACTTCCCTCGGATGTGTCAGTCAGTTTTACTTGTTTTTTTAACAGATAGTTGTACACTACACTTCCCTCGTATGTGTCAGTCAGTTTTACTTGTTTTTTTAACAGATAGTTGTACACCACACTTCCCTCGGATGTGTCAGTCAGTTTTACTTGTTTTTTTAACAGATAGTTGTACACCACACTTCCCTTGTATGTGTCAGTCAGTTTTACTTGTTTTTTTTTAACAGATAGTTGTACACCACACTTCCCTCCTTTGTGTCAGTTTACCTTTTTTTTTAAACACATAGTTGTAAAATAGTACAGGGCCTTTTTCACACCTTTGGAGCATTGGACAGATAGTGCTAGACCTATGTTTTTATGGATCAATAGGCACTCATTGGGTCACGTGGTCAACATCACATCAGCCATCTTTACTTCCCAGGACGTTACCTTGTACTCATTTAAGGCTGGGTCAACCTAGTACCAAGGTGAAATCTTAAGAAAATCTGTCTTGATGCAGATTTAAAGCCTAGATTTTTGGGTTGGTATGCGAGCTTCTAGAGATAGCTCTTTTTTAACTGTTGTTTATTTTTTTAACTTGTTTTTAGCGTGAGGTCACCATCATGTCGGCTGCTTTTACTTTCCAGGGCATGACCTGATACTCATTTTAGACATGGTCGGTTTTGGAGCCAGCACAAACAATTTTTTTTAATCAACCTTGATTCAGATTTGAACTCTTTACCGGGGGTCTGAGTGGTCTCGAGGCATTGTGTCTGCCTGGAGTGCTGGAGGTCCCGTGTTCAGGCCCCGGTGAAGGCTGGGATTTTTCATATAGACTTCAAATAATTACCTTTGGTCTCTGGGTAGTTAGATCGGACGCCCATGTGTATTGTTGTGCATGTAAAAAAAAAATCCCTTGTCAGTTGGAAATCTAAAAGAGTAGCCTAACGGCGCTGCCCTTTCCAAATTTGGAGTTCAAAATCTACCCAAAGTATTTCAGGATTGTCGCAGGTGCTACGGAGTTTCTGCACTGCGCTGAGGTTCTTTAAACTTAAGCTTGAGTTAGAATTAGAAGTAGAACGGAGCACTTCTGAGTTAAACCTGTGTACCATGGTTTTGATCCGTTGTATACACCATAAACCATGAACTCTTGACCTTCGTGCCGACAGGTGAGCTTCTAGCCACTGTGTTATTGCAGCTGGCATAGTTACTTACTAACTTACACTAAGCCTTCTGTGGATGGGTTCATGATTGTTTAGATTTTGTCACTAATGTTTTCTACAGGGTAAAGAATCCAGTCTCGTACCAACACTGCTTAGTTATTGCTCACAACACAGCTCACAGTGTTGCACCAAGCATTCACCTTTGTAGCTTTGACAGTGAAACCTTATACTTCAGTCTATATATTGGACCATAATTTTTACCTTGTACTCTAGAACATATAAAGAATTACAATTTCATAACAAAGTGACAGTATCTCCTATTCATTCATTGTCCTATTTTGCCCATAAATGATACATCAATCATTTCGATCATGGTTTCTCTGTCACATCCTTGTTTCCTCAATCCCTCTATTTCTCACTTCCATACCTGTTTGGTGATACTCTGTTTATCTTTTCTCAGCGTATGTCCTGGATGGGAGTATCTGCCGTGGGTAAACTTTTGGTTTATTTTGTTAAAACTTATGCTATTCTATTTGAGAAAATTATTTATACAAGCTGTGTTTTGTCATTCAGGCAGAGATTACGCAGTATTTCGTCTGCCCTACCAGACGCAGAAGAAGATGAGAGACAGGCTGTTAGTTCAAGGCTAGAGGAAAGCTTTACCATACATTTAGGTATCTTAGTTCATTTGTTGTGTATTCTATAATAGTTTAGTTTTGAGAAACAAATTGGAGCAGTGTTATTTTTTAAACTAGTTTAGATCATTTGAATTAGATCAAGTCATGTAAATGCAGGGAGGCGCAATAATTTAGTAACAAGGCCCCCATCTGCCGAACTAAAGGTTGGGGGTTCGAATCTGATGGGACAAGGCTTTTTGTTTTTCAGAAATGACCTTGGTTACCATGTCACCCCAGTCTTGAGTGAGTACCAGGTGAAGTCCTGGAAAGTAAAGGTGGTCGGCATGATGTTGACCTTATGTTGCTGAGTGCCACCTGATTTATATAAAGTTTAGGTTTAGCACTAGCTGAATACACCTCAAGACATGGAGAAGGATCTTTTACTTACTTGACATTTTTATATAAATGCACTTTTTATGTGAAATAATAACCAGAGAACATGAGAAAAAACTAACCACCTGCTAAGTAAGATTTTTTTAGAAAGACTGCGAACAAAACCAGAAGAAATCATTTGAGAAGTGAAGAGATTAGAAGCAATTTTAGAATAGTACCCATAACCCAGCCTAAAATGGGTACCAGGATGGGCTGTCCTGGGAAAGTAAAGACAGCCGGTGTAATGCTGACCACATTACCCACAGAGTGCTGATGGTCTGTAAAAATATGGGACGCTCTGCCCATATGCCCGATGTGCCGAAAGGCGTGAAAAGAGATCTTTACTTTTTACTTACTTTTACCCATAATTATATTATTTTATAATAATTATAATAATAAAAATTAAATTACATTAACTGAAAAATGAAGACAAATAGTTTGGTCACCTATTGAGAAGAAATCCAATGCCAACAGGTAGAGTGTGCAACATGAAAATGAAAACACCAGGAGGTGGAGGAAGACCTAAAAAAATAGGGATTGAAGGAATCACTGGCAGCTAGAGACTTCACAGCATACTAAGAGCAACCAAGCATGCCCAAGCTCAGCTACCTATCTTCTGTTAAACTGCAACACCTAGCAGCTCAAAGCAGATATTAGCAAAAGAAAGAAGATGTCAGAGAAACAACATTTATAACTTTGCAATTTAAAGTATAGCCTAGAATGAAGGAAACTAAGAGTTGAGTTGATTTGAGAACCAACATCACAGCACTTAAGGCATTCCCATAACCGCTCCATCCCTATCTTCAGCAGCCAGCACATAGTTCCAATACCATTTTTGCTCCTGATTGTATGTCCATGCAGTCTGATTGTGTGTCCATCTTAACTTTCCTCTGAGCGTCGAGTATCAGCCAGATCCCCTCTTCACTCCTCTCTGCATCACTCTCACTTGACAGTTTCCTGTTTTGAATTGTACAAAGGCTACTATAACGCCTACGGCTGCCTTATTGCAATGAGGGGAATTCCCAGGGAATCCCAGAGAGTTTCCCAATTGAGAGGACAAAGTCAGAGGGCCATGAAAACGAGAGACATGTGGAAAAAGCGTGTCCAGAATATCCCGTGTTCTGTGAACAAGTGTAAAGAAAAAGCGTGAGATTGGAACGAACGTTTGAACGGAGAGACCACGTAGAGTCAGTTGTGTTTTGACCGTGGGAGAGGCAGGCTGCTTGATAGGGTAACTGAGGTGAACGTCATTGGTGAACTGAAGGAACCCCGCTTTTGAAAGCTCGGAATGTCTGAAGAGAATTGATTCTGAATTGCAATGTCTAGTGTCTGTGAACATCTGTGATAATACCCAATTGAATAGAATGTTCTGACTGGCAGGTACCTGTACTGATTGTTAAAGTTGTCGTCCTGTCGTGGCCATTAGTCGTGAGCAAGTGTCAACGACCAGGAAGAACTTTGGACATCGGCTGAATGACTTATTGTTGTACCACAATAAACTGTATCAACGTCATCGTCATGTTCGAATTGTACTATCATGCGCCCAGACTTTACATCATAATTGAGGCATGTATAACATCCAGATAGTAGAACAAGCCAAACAGAAACCTTATTGCACATGAGGGCTCGTCCGGGATTTTGGCATCTGAAGCACCATAACACAATGTTTACAGACACTAGACATTGCAACTAAGAATCAGTTGGAGGGCTAGCGATTACGGGGTTTAGGTTTTTGTTCACAAAAGTGAGTTCAGCGTTGGTCATTAATGCTCTTGTTGTAGACCTCATTTCCTGGTGGAGATCCCCCGTAACTGTCAGATCTTTGCATTGTATGTTTTCACTATTTTTCCAGTTTCCAGTGTCTGTATTTATATGTAATGTCCCCCCAACCCCCTTAACCGGTCTTGTGTTAATTTTTGTCCCAAAAGATGTCTTATAGCTTATTTTCAAGCTATTCTTTTTTGTGTTTTTTTTAAACAGGATTAACATCAATGTTATTTATTTATACATTTTTGTAAAATACATCAATTACTTTATAATTCTCCTTCTTCTCCATGTTTACCAGCTGTAAATTCTGGTGGAAAGTTCTGATTAATCGTCCATCTCTGGACTTTAGTCTTGTTCCATAATCTGAGTGTTGCCTGCACATTTGTTTTACAGATCTGGCTTATCTTTATGCAGCCTATTTGTTCCTCGCCTTTCAGGCAGATGGCCTCTGACTTCAAAGGAAGCAACCAATAATTTGACTATTACAACATGCTTGTTGGGGTGGCATTGGGTCTATTCTTGTTCTCCCCATAATAAAACCCTTGATTCCACACAGGAATCTTTATAATTTAGTATCTGTCATGTGTTACAATGGAGGGGCAAAATTAATCTGGCTACTGATCCTAATTAGGGTTTGTATTTGTGGTAGGGCTTATATAATGAGCATCCTAAAAAATCGAGCCAGGTCTTTTTTTCAGGTTAGGTCTTTTTTTTGGGGGGGGGGGGGGGGATAAACTTGGTGGCTGGCATCGTTTTATGTTTGCCACATATTAATGACTATACAAAAATTATGTACGCATTATTGGTGAAGAATTACTTCTTTTATAGTCTGTGACTTGTGGCGTTGGCCAGCAAGTTTGTCCACAGCCTTCTGACATGTCAAACTGCCAATTATTGCCTTTTTATACCACTTTTGCAGTGTAAGGAGGAGGGTTTTGAGCCTGAGGATTTATGGCTGCATGGCTAGTGCTGTCGCCATGACTGTGCAAATAATGTTATTTTGCCCTCGACAGAAACAATCCCCAGCCTAACTGAGGATTTTAACCTGGGTCTCCCACCCAGCGTTCTAACCATTCTGCCAGCCGTTCCTCTCTGACTCATGTACTGCTAATAATTTCTCACACAGATGTTTGTCCATTTCATGTGGCTAAGCCCTCTAACATCTTCTCTCTTTGTTTTCCCCTCACTTCTTTTAACTTCCCATTTTCCTGTTGCCACACAAAGTTATTAAATGTCACAAAACCACTGTTTCAGGTGCCCAGATGAAAACAACTCACAATTTGCGACTGCTGTGTACTGACATACTAGACTTGTGTCAGCATAAACCACATACAGTAGGGTATGTTTTTCATTTATCTCCATACATCATTCTTCTCTAGAAAAAAAACATGTTTCATTATGTCTGTTTATAGCAAAACTACCGTATTTGTGTCATTCACCCTACATATCTTTTGTGTTTGTTTAAATCAAAACTGACATATTTGATTTAACAAATAAAGCATCAAAAAGATTTCAGATCACTTATGAAAGGACAAACATATTGAAGACATTACAACAGTTCAAGGAAAAGTCAGACTGGAAACTAAAAGAGTTAAAGTAACAGATCAGTATATCTATTTTGGTGATAATTTTGATTGCAAAGGAAATGCAAAGAAAGAAATTATATATGCATTGGTAGGCAACATCAATGTTAAATGAGATGAATTCAAGAAAGGCGAAGAAATATGGGGCCCTATCGCAAAGTAATGCCTCCTTCAGAAACTTAACCTCTCTCGCCTGGATCTACACACCTGATCATGCTGGTGTGAAGGGTAATGAGAGAGTGGACCCGCTGGTAAGCAGTGCGCCAACTTATGTGAGAAAAGGCATGGACAGAGCAGATATTGTCAACGCTGTACGGACTGGGCTAGTGGATAGTGTTGAATCTCTGATACTAACACTATTGCATGACATGGGGGTAAATCATGGTGAAGCACATCTCTGCAGCCTTCGAGGCCGAGATGGAAGACATAACCAACTTCTCAAGGGAACAGTTAGTTGGAGTGACTGCTGCATCGGAGGACTTAGCACACATGGGAATGAATGCCCAGTGTGCGGTGACGTAAATTGTGATAACATTATGCAACAGTAACAGGTGATACCAGTTTCTGTCTACAGACAGTATCTTCTGAAACTTTGATCTACATTGTTGTGTACTTTCAGAGGTGTGGTGATCCCACAGCCACAAAGACTTCAAACTGCTATGTCACTGTATTCCAACAACTTGTGTGGCATGTTGCTGCTTGTTGACAACCGCCTCAATTCTTACACGGGCATCAAGCAGAGTAAGAAACATTCATTTCTTGTAGCAACTTTTCTCACATTGTTTTTGTTGCTTGGTCCTAATGGGCTACTCCATTTTTTTGTTCCAATCAGAGTAGCACATGAATAAAATTGTCTTTACAAAAAAAAATATCAAAATAATGTTTTCTTGCTATATATTTTAACAAAGAAGACACAAACAATAGATTGCCTGGCATAGTTTTAAAAAAAAATGTTCCTGTAACAAGTACCTAATGAGATTCTAATACTACAGTGACATAATTTGTTTTTAAAATCGTGCCATTATAGGGGTTTAACACAGACTGCTGTCATGATTAGCAAGCACATTAACTTGTATACCACAAGGATTCCTAAAATGTGTAACCGATCTCATTTTCCAGAGTTTGCCCGTGTCTGTGAGAGCTCCACTGACTTCCACTTCCCCCCACTGGAGCGACAGTATGAACTGATTGAGCAGCAGCTTCCCAAGGCTGTGGAGGTTCGCAGTCAGAAGAGACTGGCTTCTGGGGATGATGCAGATCAACTCAGTTTGCATAGTTCTAGCAGTGGTGGTTCCAGCGAGGAGAAGGTCTGTACCACCTCTGATACTTAAGTAACTGATTACCTGTTCTTAGAATACCACCATTAGTCAGTTCCTACACACACATTTGAAAGCATACGAGAAATATCATATTATGACCATGGCAAGGTGGTTTCATTAAGAGACATGAGGAAAAGTGAAGGCCATTGTGATGTGTATAAGGAGATACTCCTTACCTCACATTGGGCACCAGCAGGCTCTGGGCTTCAAGACTCCTGCCACACTTCCTAGTCGTGTGCTACAGATAAAGGCTCACCTTTGTGAATAAACCAAGCTGACAGGGGATCTTGGAGCTGGTGGCTCCCAGAGATGTAGTGTCCAGTTTGGCTCTTATCAGCCCACCCCCAATGCCTGGGTAAAAATTACTATCAAAATTGTCTGGAACATGCGTAAAGTTTGCTAGCCGAATATACTACCAAATGACAACTTTCTTTGAAAAAAGTATGTCGAGTGAAAGAACCATTGAAGTGCTGAGACTCCGCCCTAGACCAGAAGATTTGCTCGCAGTTTAGATGAGCGACATCTTCTGTGAGCTGTATTTCGCACGGTTCTGTCTCAGTGCACCCTTTTCGATGCTCAGCATCGTCGTCACTTCGTTGAGGTGCACCATGATAACCTGCCACTGACAGTCAGCGGTCTAGGCTCAGATATCCCTCTGAAAATGAACTGAAAAAGTATAGTTGCAAAGTTTTGAATGTCCGACCGTCAAAAGTCCTATATTTGGCAGAAAGGTTTAGATGTCTGTTACCATTTGTCCTACTCGCCAGAGTGTCTGACCAAATAGGGGAATCCATGCCTGATGGATGATTTTCCATACTGTCATGCTATGTGTCCAGATTAAACATTATAGGTGTCTAACATGCTGAAGAAGAATATACCTATTTGTGTGGTCATTAAAGTCCCAGATATGTTGACTGCTCCCTGCAGATCTCCGAAAAGCAGAGTCTGTAATGAGTGGATGTGAGGTTAAGTTGTTATGTGCAGGACGTGATGACTCCTTAGGGAAGCCTAAGACTAAAGCTTCATGTGTTGGCTCTGCATTTTATTGAGTCTATTAGTCTGCATGCGATTGCCTTGGACGGGGTCTCCAAGGGCAATGCCTTTAGATAAAGAAAAAAAAAGAGAACTCTACACAAATGAGGCTTCATCATGTCTCGTGAAACTATCTGGAAAGTTAACCCGGTCAGTAAATGCTTGATAAGTTCTGATGTGTCAGCCGAAAGGTGCAAATATTGCAGCTTTACTGTAAACAGGCACACTGCTGTTCGCTACTGGCATAAAAAAGCCCCTTTTTTGGGTATTTAATTTACTTTCTGTCATCATCATCATGTGCCCTGACAACTGACGTAGGCGCTCATGCGTTTCCACAAATCACTATCCCTGGTTGCCTGGAACAGCTCTCTTGATGATGTCTCTCCATGCCATTGTTTCAGCCATCCAGCATCATCTCTTGGTCTGCCTCTAACCCTTTTCCCACTTATCTTTCCAGTTGTCACGATGTTCTCCAATGTCTCTCTTCTCATTATGTGGCCAAAGAATAGTGTTTGTCTTTTTTATACTTTCTATGCCAACTTTTAAAAAATATAGCAGTTGGTAATTTTTCTCCAGCCAGGTAATCAGTTTTTAAGCATACCAGAGTTAGATTAATTTAGTTACCATTGTTGTCTATTTCCAGAATTACCAAAATGAAAATTTTCCATAACCCCCTTCTCGGAGCATGATTTCTGTTTCCCTGGAAGGCTGAGAGTTTCTCAGTAACTTCTGATCAGTTATTATAGTCAGCTTTTCAACAACAGCAGAATGTCTTCACCACAAAGCTCTATGTGATTTCCTCAGGCAAATATATATCTTTACTGTCCGATCCACACAAACTGAACAGTCCAGTCTTGTTCTTTCTCTACAGAACATGTTTTTGAACAGTATATTTGGGGGGGCTGTGTCGTCTCGAGGCATGGTGTCCGCCTTGAGTCCTAGAGGTTCCGGGTTCAATCCTCGGTAAGGGCTGGGATTTTTTCAAGTGGACTTGGGCTTCTAGTAATTCCCCCTGGTCTCTGGGTAGTGAGATCAACGCCCGTGTACATTGTTGCACACGTAAAAAATCCCTTGGCAGTTGGAAATAGAAAAGAATAACCTAACAGTGCTGCCCAGGCAAAATTTGGAGTAAAAAATCTACCCAAAGTATCTCAGAATCCTCGCCAGTGCTACAGAGCCTGTGCACTGTGCTGAGCTTTTTCAGACTCAGACTTGAGTTTGAAGAAGAACGGAGCACATATGGGTTACACCCGTGTGCCATGATGTTGATCCGTTGTTCAAACCTCATTGAGCAATAAATTTCACTTTGACTGCAAGTCTCTTTTCTCACATTAAAGACACCTGTCATGTCATTTCCCTGTTTGAGTTATCACTTGCATATCTCTCTCTTCCAATACCATGGGTTCACTTTAGATGTGAATTCTCTCCATTGACCATATCCCTACTTAATGTTATTAAATTTTCTACTTGTTCTGTATATGTCTTTTACTAAACAAGTAAAGAATCCTTTTTTTATGCCAGTTGTGCATGGAACATATTTTTGTAGACTAATTGGCACTTAGTGAGGGATTTGGTTAACATCACATCAGCCACCTTTACTTCTAGAACATTACCTGGTACCAGGGCTGTGATTTCTCTTGAACCTCCCTCCCAAAAATTTGAGGGGAAAAAAGGGGCGTGTAAGGGGTCAAGAATCTGTGTTTCCTTCGTTAAAGTTCTCCATTTATCACACAGTGTTTTAGTTTTCATCTTCTTGTAACCTCTTCTTATATTATTGCCAACAAATGATAACTGCCTTCTTCTGATGTTTGTAATGGATTGTCTTTCTGTGTAGCCATTTTCATAATATTTATGTAACTGAGATAATAATTACCTAATTCAGAGGAACTACATCTTGGGTTTGGGGAACAAATCTAGTTGGCAGTCCTGCTTTCTACCCATTTTAAACTGGATTAACCCAGGAGTTAAAGGTCAATTTTTGAAGGGGAAAAAATCACTTGACTCTGATTCGAACCCAAAATCTTGACAGGCAGCTAGCTGAGCATCTAACCATGTACTACCACAGCTCTTCTTGTACTAGTTGTGATGCAAATTAATTAACAGCATGAATTAAATGATATACCCTTGGTTGGACAGGAACCAGTCATGTTTTTTTCTTATCTTGCAACCTCCAACATTTTCAAATCATGCACTGACAGCTTTCCAGACCATGGTAAAAGGATGTCAAGAATCTTTTCTCATTGTCTTTCTCATTCTTCCCTTCCATTGATCTTTCCATTGGTCACACAGTTCCTCCTCTCATAGCCTCTTCTTAAATTGTTGCCAACAGATGATGACTGCCTCCTTCTGATGCTTGTAACAAATTGTCTTTCTGTCTCAGCAGCCATTTTCCTAATATTTAGATTACACATTAAAAAGTCTTCTTCTGCATTTCTGCAGGAGTGATTGACATATTGTGTTATGGTTTACAGCTAGGCTATGGTATATGTGCTTTTCTGTCCAGCAGATCCGATATCAGCAAACCCCCAAATTAATTGCCTTTTATGATATGCTTGTTAGGGCACAGTTGGCCTGTTCCTCTTTCCTCCAAAATGAGGCCCCTTTGTGAAATATGTATTACTATTGGCCCAGCCCTGCGGCTTGTGGGTTATTAAATGTGTTTTGCTCTGTGTAAGTTACAGGGCTCTATTTAGGATAATAAAGAATAGATTGACATGTCGTAGGAGGGGACCAATTAAGGGTACTTCCTTCAGAGTCAGAGTGCATCTGCCTGAGATGCAGTCTGCTTACAGAAAAGCCAGATCTGTAAAACCATTGTGCATGCAAAACTTGCAAGTTCTCAAGCAAGACAAAGCCAGGAATGGAAAGACAACCAGAACTTTCTACTGGAGTTTACGGCAGAGGACGTTAAGAAGAAAAGGAATGTGTTTCATAATTCTTAATACACCAGGTGTTATTTCCACTGTTGGCAGTGTAGCAAAAAAGCCATTCTTGTTGTGAGAGTCATACCTTGTAAGAGATTTAGGTCCTACCAGATGATCTTCTCAAAGGCAGCAGTAAGTAAATTTCACCCCACAAGGACATCACACAAGCGATAAACAGCCGGTGACACAAAGTGCCACCATGCAGATGAGGATCACCCGTGGGGAGGTCCCGGAAACCTCGTTCAGCCGTTAGGCCATATTTCAGGCCCGGCTATATTTAGGGCCTCCGGCAAAAGCCAGAATGGGGCTTCAAAGTAACTACAAATTGCATCCCACAAGGGGATGACGAGATCGGCATAATAGAAAGTCAGCAACGAATTACAGCACATTATTAGTTGTAGTCATCTTTCATTGTAGAGGTGGCAACTATTGTTGAAAATTATTTGTTTTTTTTTGTTTGTTCCAAACTTTCTTCATTTTGACTTTTTAAGCGACCAAAAATTATGAAAATAAACTATGTTCTGGTGTGTATTTATTGTCATTTAATGTTTTTTAAATCTTGTCACAGGAAAAGGGGGGTGAAAAGAAACTACATTCTGGTGACTTTTATGTGACAAAACATTCCAACCTGTCGCAGGTGCACATAGTCTTTCATGTTGTAACGGATGAGAACCTTCGGACCTCAGAAATTACATCACGTCACCCTGTCATCCTCAGCATACGCAACATAATTAAGCTGTGTTTCCGCTACGATATTCACACAATCGCCATTCCATTATTACTGACTCATGAGATGACTGAGGTAATTCTTTGTGCTTTTTTAATGTTTTAATATTTATATTTGTATGAGACATTTTATAGATATTTTTTTGACACTGCTGACTCCAGTTTAGAATGTAAAACAATAATTAATTTGGTATCAAGTTATTAGACCAAGTAGATGGCACTAATTTGGACAGATCCCAAGATAAAATGTGGTGAGAATCACCAACTATCCATCCATCTATTTATGAAAAACAAAACACAAAATCA